CCACCACATCCCAAAGGTGCTCTATTGGATTGAGATCACAACACAGCTCTCATCTGGGTAGGTGCGCTCAAAGCACCCGCTGACTTAGGCCGTACTCACACTAGGTACAGTTGCCTCGAACCGGGCCAAAGCACGCTTGTCCCCCCTCCCGTCTCCCCCGACGGCCCGCGCTCACACCATATCGGGCCTCGGCACGCTTACGTCATCGCTGCTGCGATGGCTCTCTATGGCAAGCCATTTTAGCATTTAAATCTTTGTTCTGACTCCATAAATATATTTAGAGATATCTCTAATTATATTTTGACTAGTCATAATTATAATTCGACTAGTCAGAATAACAATTAGAGATATCTGCAATTGCAATTGTACTAGTACGAAATCAGATTGGAGATATCTGCAAATATATTATGACTAGTCATATTTCTCCATTGACTTCCATTGAAAAATATTTGCAGATATCTCTAAATGAGTTTTGACTAGTCACAATTGTAATTAGAGATATCTCTAACTGAGTTTTTACTAGTCATACATTTGGAGATGTCTTTAATTCGTAATATTTAGAGATATTTACAAATATATTTGAAGATATCTCTAATTAATTTACTAATAGTCGAATTACAGTTGTAGATATCTTGAATTGGATTTTTGACGAGTCAAAACTCAGAGATATCTGCTAATATTTTTCAATGGAAGTCAATGGAGGAATATGACTAGTCATAATATATTTGCAGATATCTCCAATCTGATTTCGTACTAGTACAATTGTAATTGCAGATATCTCCAATTTTACATTCTGACAAGTCGAATTATAATAATGACTTGTCAAAATATATAATTATGTCAAAATATATAATTATATCTCTAAATATATTTATGGATAGTCAGAACAAGGTTTAAATGTTAAAACGGCTTGCCATACGCTCTCTCACTCAGCAGCACAGTGGAGAGTTCTCTAGTTATATCCTTTCAGTCGTTTGTTATGCAGTGACATGCAGTCAAATATTTCGCCAAACAGTCCTTAGGGATGCCGTGACACGCAGTCAGATATTTTACCGAACAGATCCGCCACTTTTGGCGCTCATAAACAATCAAAGCTCTCGTGCTGCAGGAATGAGGAGGTCTGCTGAAGGCGCGCAGCTGGCGTGCTGTGAGGAGTTTGCGTCTTTAATAAACTACGGCAGTTTGCGATCACTGAACAGTAAGAATGATTAATAAATCCATATCAAACAGTCCCTTAAAAGTCACGTCTCGCTTTCGGTTTCGGGCTTTGGTGCGTTTCGCGCTCACACACAAGCGTACCGCGCCAAAGCCCAAGTGTACCGCGCTCAGGCACACCTCTTCCAACCGGGCCAGGGCCGGCCAAGTGAACCGTGCTTGAGCGCGATTCAGCGCACTCACACTTCTCAAACGATCCGGGAAACGGGCCTGGGCACGGTACGGATGGCATAGTGTGAGTAGGCCCTTAAAGGAGCTCCTGGAGCATGCCAGGGTGTGTATGGTCATGTGTGTTTTTAGTGGTATACTGTCGTGTGGACGGAGATCTTTTCCGAAGCGCTAGGTCAGGGGTGGCCAACCTTGTTTCTGGAGAGCCACCTTCCTGCAGATTTCAGTTGCAACCCATATCAAACACACCTGCCTGTAATTATCACGTGGTGTTCAGGTCCTAATTAATTGGTTCAGGTGTGTTTGATTTGGGTAGCAAGAATACAAGTGTTTTGTTTAGTTACCTTAGCACTGAACATATCAATGACATTCAAATTAGCCATCTATCTGTGAGTTTCGAAACAGGAACTTCAATTTTTTAATTTTAATAACAAAAAACAATTAAACCATTAAAAAAATAATAAAGTTTCAATTTAGTATTGTTGAAAACTCATCACATTCAACATTTAATCACTCACTCACTTAGATAGAGATGGGTTTTTAAAGGAAAATTATCATATAACTATAATCTGGTAAAAGCTGGGATCTCTGGGCATGTCCCCTGCAACAGAAAAAAAACCTCTCATTTGGGACTGAGGTTTCTGGGACAGAGAGATGATTTAGCCAAGGTTGACAGCAGTGGGTAACGCTGTGCATTGTCTTTCCACCATTTGAGAGGACAAGCCATGAGTGAGATAGAGGTCTCTTTGCGGTACAAGTCAATGTCTGCATCAATCTAACAAGTGTGCTGTGTTCTGCAGTCCCCATGACTGTTATTAGTCGTATTCCCCAACTTATATTTCACCACAGTCTGGCAGTGCCTGCATATTGTTTTTTTCTTCGTCTGTCACCTTTTCTACTTTTTCGTATGTTTTTAGAAAGAAACCGAAATTCTTCCACACATCCGATTTAAATCCCGCTTTAGGTTCGATCATTTCCAGCTCTTTTTCTTCCCCGCTACTAGCAGCACACTCCATTTCCGCATTACTGGATCTGTAGTGACAACAGACTGCAAAGAATGATGGCCACGCCTAGGCGGATGGGAATTGTAGTTCCCGCTACCTCCCGTTTGCTTCACTTCGTTTGCTTCATCTTCAACTTTTCTCAGAAATATAGTTTTATTGCGTCATGCGCCTACAGTAATCTTGAAAAAAACTACTATTGCTGTATGACGGTATTTACAATATTGTTACATCCCTAATATATATATATATATATATATATATATATATATATATATATATATATATATATATATAGACCTCGTCTATCTTTCCATCAAGCAAATTCATAGCCTAATTGGTTGGCGACGTCACCGGCCAGAGCGAGAGGTGACCGTAACGCACCAAAAAGTTTGTTGTCGACTACTGAAAAACAGGAAGAAGAAATCACAATTCTCGCCATCATAAAGATTTACTTTGATCAGCTAGACACCGGCCTCACAGCTCTGTGAATGTCAGTGCCGTCACTTATTGATCCGCGATCTGGAATTGTGAGCTACTAAAAAGCTATTTGAATTATAAAGTAGCAATGCTACCGCCACGCTACTAAGAAATGTAGTTAAGCTAGTAGCGCTACTACTTGTAGCGATGCTACTGCTCAACACTGTTATATGATAAAATTCCTTTGGCCAGAGGAGTCTGTTTGTGCCCTGAATTTCACAAATCGATAACTTTGTGAGTCATAATATATCATTGGAAATGAAAGGGTCTGTTTTTCTTTCTGTACACTCACGATAACAAAGAAACACATTTGCTTTTATAAAATAAAGAAAGGCTAGGTTACATACCTGCAGATGCTTCCTCAAATTTGACATTAAAGCCTTTGGTGTTGAACGTATTTTAACAGCTGGCTAACAAATTTCGCACTTAACTGTTTCAGATTTCAGAGTGAAATTAGTTTTAAATTTCCAGCAATGAAATGCATTTTTATCACTCGCCACGGTGCCAGCTCTTAGACTGATTGTAGTAGCCTGATGCTTTCAGCGGCAAATTCAAACCTGAAAACCAATCAAAAGCACCAGAATAGCATCGCTTTAATTGTGCATATCAAAAACAGGCAAAGCAACAGACTAATATCATTCAACATATCAACAAACAACCCCGATTTTGAAAGAATATATTTAGATGTAACACCATTTGTAATCTTTAACATTTTCATAAGTAACTGTAAATTAATTAAACATTTTTTTTCAGTAACTGTAACGAATTACGGTTACATTTATTTTGTAATTAAGTTATGTAATGCTGTTGCATGTAACTAGTTACTCCTCAACGGTTGATGTGGATCATTTTCATTCTAAAACACAGTTTTAAAACTAAGGGCTCTATCATACACCCGGCGCAAGGCGCGACATAATTGTTGTTTGCTAGTTTCAGCTCGGCGCAAGAGTCATTTTCATGTTTTTCTCCGCGCTGTTTAAATAGTAAATGCATTTGCGCTCATATGTGCGCCCATAGGCGTTCTGATCTAAAAAAGGAGGCGTGTTGAGGCGCATTGCTGGCACGTTGCTATTTTGAAAAAAAACTTAAATAGACAGTTCAATAGACCAGAACAAAGCCGGTCGATTGTGTAGTGCAGAGCGCGATAGTTGTGCGCCTCGCTTACACACTGCTTAATACACACAGGATGTACAGCAATACGCTAATATCTTTACATATGTTTTAAAAATTACAAAAAATATTACTTTCTAGCATACATAAATGTAAAAACCACCCACTCCATGCCTTCTTCATCTCGGGGGGGCTTTTTGAGTTTATTCATAACAATTTGCTTTTGTATAATGTTATTATTATTAGCAGTATTATTTATTATATGCATATTTAAATTTGTTTTATTAAAAACAAGCTTACATTTGTCCACCTGTCAGGTTTTAGACCATATGGGGCACACCAAGTGTATTTGGAAATTGAGCACACTTCGTTATTATTGTTCATTTATTCGTTTGCTGGAAATTAGAACTGAATTTAGAAATAGTTTTAAAACAAATCTTTGTGCCTAACAAACAAAATTAATTATGTATAGGCTAATGGATGTCTGTGAGTACAACAAGTTTCCCTATCCACGAGAGTGAAAGTGAAAGTAAAGAGT